CATGGTGCGCAGCACTGATAACCTCTCTGGGGTGGCTTCCTCCTAATCTGCTTCCTTTAGGCCCTTGTGAGACTTATGCCTGGGTGTAAAATCACAATGAGTGCTAGTTAACATTTAGAAGTGCTCAAGCTGATGTTTAAAGTGTTGCCATAATGAATTTATGTGTAGGCCAAGGCAACTGGAAATGGTTAAATAAAAGTTCCTTAAAAACAAGCCCTTGCTCCATTTTACAATGTCACAGGATCCCCGTGGGCAGAGTCTTGTTTACTGCTTGAAATGCAAAGCCGGAAGATTGTGGAAGATGGGAAGCTCTACCTCATAAAGACTGAGGTAGAGCTTCCCATCTTCCACACTCCCATAACAATCTCAGGCGTCCCTCTGAACCAGTGCTTCGAAACCAGAGATCCGTGAAATTAAGTAGAATACACACAAAAGCGTCAACATTGAATTCATTTATTTGATTAATATGCTTCTAATATTGTAATTTTATAAATTTTATAAACAATCGGTACCAACTATTCATGTCCCTGCTGCACCTCCAGAAGAAGTGTTTAAAATTGTATATTTTATATTAATCTTTGCAAATCGCTTGTACGCTTCATAATGAATGCGGCTCAGGTTTACACTCAGGGTACATTACGACATGTTTTCTATATGACGTTCTCAATATAATTTATAATCCCACGTTTATAATGAATAACGCGGTTATTGTTACAAACTGATTAAGTATACATCAGTAAACACATACAGTATAGCGTTCGTACAACTAACAAGTTACTCTACCCCAGTACACAAAGATACATTAAAGTGACATTATGTGAGCGAAGCTTATTATCATTTAAAGGCAAATGCACTAAACGGCATGCTGAAAACAGAGCTGTTTTTGGCCAGGTACAATTTGTGTTTTCTTACAATACTAACGAGAATTTGTAATTAAAGTGTATTACAAACTTTTCATTTAGACCCTAAAGAATCAACTTGTATGAAAATGGCATTATACAACATGACATCATGACTTTTGCGTAAACATACGCAATAATTTCGAGTCAAGTGGCGTGTTATCTCAACGCATTTTGAGCTATCCGTGTGTATCCGCGTGTATGTCTACACCATTAACGTTCGCGTCATTCCGCGTGTCTGTACACGCCGTCAAATGTCCGAGCAAAATGTACATCTATATCTGGGGAGCTATGTTTTTCTTTCCTAAGATGGTAAGGGAACAGTCATAAATGCCATTAACCCCAGTGACGGTTAGGTTTAGGGTCAGGGTTGAGGTAAGTCATATATTTATATATACAGTAATAGCGTTAAGTCAACAGCATTCATAAACATGCTGAAAAGCGATTATGCGTGTTGACAGCACGCCAAAAATGGAAATAGGAATTGGCGTGTCATACACACGCTACTTCATGAGATCAGTCTGCATTATATGACCCCTTTAACACAGTAGTACCTATGAATACTAATGATATCAAGTCAATTTTTAAATCAGTGGTGAGACAAATTCTCTCTTCTCTGCTTCTCACCTTCTCCTTTACCGGTCCATCAGAGTAGGTCCTCCCTGGGGGCTCTTTGAGCAAATCACAAGTATTTGGCACCCTAATTAGAGCAGTAACTGAATATCAAGCCCTGTACTACCAGTACCTTCTCAAAATGGCACACCTCTCCCTGGTGGCTCGCCACTACCCCTTCACCCTCAACCTTTAGCATTTGAGCTGCTTTTGTTGTTTTTGTCCACGTCAATGATCCACCCTCACCGCAGGACGGCCACTGTTAATACAGCTGAGGTGCATTAGGCCTGTGTTGTTCTTGCTCCTTACCTAACTCCAGGCTCTGTTTGCTGTCCCCTGTGTTTTCCTTCCCCTTCAGTGCAGCCGCAGACCCCGCGCAGGAGTCCAAGTGGCAGCTCTTGGAGGCTGTAATGCGTTTAATTGCCCGTGATGTTTTTCTTTCTGCAGTTTTGACGTTTAGAATGGCAGTGATTTGACAACATGTTGTCAGATCCACTATGTATCAGTGTGGCTGATTAATTAGAAATGACTGAACTGGAAACCAGCAAACACCCACCGATATTACCGCTGGTGGTACTTTCAGACAGTCGATGATAAAAAGGCTTTTGTGATGTGGCAGAAGAGACTGGAGGCTTGTTACCAGGGCCGCTCCAGATGTTACTGCTGTGTCTTGGCTTGAAGTTTGAGTTGTAACATCTTAGCTTTTATTTTTCCATTACCTCAACCAGCATTGATCATTTAGAACACCATGTGATAGCTAATAAGCGTCTAACAGACTTTACGTCTTCATGAGTCCAGGGTTGTCAACTCAATCCATAAGTTAGCTTTAATGGGATTCTGTGACACCTTTTATTGTAGTGAGAGTGAGCAGACTCCTTGCTGATCCCTGAACAGTCTAGGGTACATAACTGCCTCTTGGAGTCACCTCCACTGTAACTCTAGAGCTTCATTGTCACGCTCCATATCACCTCACTGACCCCCGGCCCAATTATACAGCTGACCTGGGTTTGATGACATAACCTCTGCGGATCGGGGTGCGATCACCTCGTGGGGTACCCTACTACCTGTCAGCCCATGTCAGCTCACCATGCTAAACAGACACTTCCCAGAGCCGCTCCCAATGGACGGAGCAATGAGGGGCTGCAGACGGACCATTTCTTCTGGTGGATTTCTCTTTTTTTGTTTCTCTCCCTCAGTTTCTGTTTTCAATCAAATAAGCAGTTGCAATAATAGTTGTATTTTTAATTAATGTTCAAAGGTTAATTTTCTGTCATTTTTATTAAAGAAAGTTTTAGTCCATAGCCATACTTTGAAAGTCAGTGGGGTGCAAAACAACACGGGACCCTCTTGGTCTCAGACTCATTAGATGGATAAAAAACAGACTTTTAAAAAAATACATCTTCTTTGGTGTTGGACAGAAGAAAGAAAGGCACACAAATGGGAGCCACATTTTCACCACATCAGAAAAAAAATTCTTCGGTAAATCATAATTATAAGACAAAGTTTAAAATGCTGAAATAATTCCTTGGAATCCAAATCTCATCGCCAATTCGAAGGGAGTCTCGCCCTGGGTGTAATTCAAAGTAGAACCTCCACTGGCCACTCATTCCGGATTCATTGACGTGCTCTTTCCACATTTAACGTTTGGGAAGTTTACTGGATGTAAAATTCAGTCGCACTCTCTCAAATTTTGGTCTGGAGCCCAGAATATAAAATTCAGTAGTTCAATATAAAATATTCAGATATTATAAACTGATTGATAAAGTAAAGCATAACATGAGATTGAAAAATTATTCAGCAACACTTTATTAATAGGTTAATTGCACCTATGAGTCATATTTAATATCAATCAGTTGGAGCAGTTCATCTAAAAGTTGATGAATGTGTTATGTTTAAAAGTACACTATGCAGGAATTGCGTTTTTGTCAAACAACGACCCCTAGAGTTACTGTGGAGAACTAGTTTTTAACCTTATTGTCGTAAATACCACTCACGCAGAGCGTGACATGGCGTGACGTGTTACATAGTATACAATAGTACAATGTGTTTAATTTGTCATTTAATGAGCTCTAATATATGTTGTTAGTTTTCACATGATTAAATACATAGATCTGACTATTATCCCCATGCACTTTAATAGTCCAGTGGCAGAACTTTTGCAAAGCGTGTCAGAGGTTCTTTAATCCGCACTAGTCGTATTGTTTTTTTTTCCTCATCAAAACCATTGTTTATTAGTGGTTGTATATCAAGCAGGAACACGCTTTTTTGTGCATTTGGTTTTGTGATTTCACCATAACAAATGTAGAGAGTCTCTCCGCAGTTCAGTTAAGCGGAAAAAAAAAACTGCATAGTGTCCCTTTAATATATTGAGCTATCAAAATAGTGTAGCCAAGTCACTAGGGGGCGCTGCTGAGGGTATGTATAGAGGGTGTAATTTCCCTTTAAATATGCCACTTCTTGTGAGAGGAATAGTTGGATTATTGTTTTTATTTTTAAGTGCTTCACACCCCAGTCCAGTTGGTGGCAGTAATGCATCGAAAGTTGTTTTTCCAACCGCCATGAAACATCAAACGAAGAACAAGAAAAAGAAGAAGAACAACAAGAAGAAGATGAATAGTTGCAGTAGCTAATTGTTTGGCATGGTCGCTGGAAGAACAAGCTCGGGTAGGTTGATTTTAATAAGAAGTGTTTTTTTTTTATTATGATGTTTCAAATCTTTTTGATGTGTTGGCCAAGATCCAGTGATGTTCACTCTTGATTTATACAGGTGTGGTGTGTAAAGCGTTTTTGTGTGTTTAGCGTGGCATGTAGAAATTTTGTATTTTCTTTTGGGGTTTATTGTATTTATTCATTGTTGTGTGTATTTTCTTTTGAAGTGATCTGTTACCTCCCCTAGTTAATTGTAGGCTACCACCATCTCTCAAGCCAATTGACCAGCTTTGAGTGAAAGCAGATGAGATCAGAATCATTGTATTTAATAAAATTGATGCTTTGATTTAAATAGTAATTTTGCCTTGATTCATATAATTGAATAGCCAAGCGGATTGAGCTACAGCAAGCAAACACTGGCTTGTAATGTGTTTTCTCACATATGTATTTTGAATAATTTTTAACCCCCCAAAAAGCTACGGACTGCAGCTTTAATATCATGTGGAAGAAGCAGTGTTTTTCTTTTTGTATTTTTGTCTTATGAAAATGATTATGAATGACTAATATTTTTATGAAAAGAACAAACACACACTTGTTTCTTAAAATAAGATTTTTAATATTACTTATTATCATAAAGATATATTTACACACTTTACAGAAATAGAAAATAAAAACACAAAGCTACGCATGAAAGGAAAAAAATAAAATAAGTACTCCAAGAGCTAAAGCTTATCTTTTATAAATTAGAAACCAAAAGTTCAAATATGTACACAGTATTTCAACCATTTCTGATACACTTGTTTAATTCATTTATTTATTCATTTGTTTTTGCCCAGTTCAACATCAAAACAGAGACAGGGACTGTACATTTGGCCAGGTGAGTTTGATGAACACACACCTCCAACAGGAATAAAGAGAAGGAATAATACCTTGCCGTTACGCTGCTTTTCACATGGCCCACTAATACTGTTGAAATGCCAGGCCTGACTACAGATTTTGAGATTTAAAATGGATGAGTGTGCTGAAAAAAACATGTTTTGGATAGAGGTTAGAGCTCTTTATGGGTGTGAAATCTTGTTTGAATTAACAGAATAATCAGATCATTCTTAGCGTCCCAACCAGTTGGTGGACTTTGTGAATTGTTGGGATTGGATTTCAGTTACTTGATCTGGTCGCCACATTTTACATGCACCGTGACAAGCTAATTGAAAACAAGCGGCCAAATTATTTTGGGTATTTTCCTTTGTGAGAAAATATATGAAAGCAGAGCATTTTGTCCTAATGAATGTCTTGGTAAAACCAATGTAATGAATCACAATGGTAAAGAGGAGTTTTGTATTGTTTTCAGGGCTTTTATCATTCCTCTCTAAATGATTAATATGCAAGGGAACTTATTTCACTTTCCACAGCTCTGTTTTCAACATACAAACAACTTCTGCACACCTTTCTCCCATGCAAAAGTCTGTACTCAAACAAAAGATCAAGTGGAACATGCATACAAGTGCATAGGACTAATGATGAAGCCAAATTGGGCAGAAACACATGATAGAGTAGAAATGAGTTTTTCATCTGAGCTCTTTAAAGAAAAGCAAAACAATTGTAGAAAATGATTTGTGCTCTGTAAGTATAATGCGTGTTTGATTTCAGTATTGAGTCTGGACGTGCATGTACTCTTGGTGCCGCAAGCTCCATTAACCTGATGTGCTGACGGAGACGATGGACCGAGTTCGACTGTGGAGGAGGGTGAGAAAGCTTTTTTGTGTCCACGACATATTTTGCAGCAGACTACTTTTCTACACTTTTTTTTTTTACGACCTTAAACACAAAAATAAAATACAGCTTTCCACACTCTATCGAAAAGTAAGCTTTGGACAACCAGCTAGACAAGAATCAGTCAATTAAATTGTCACAAGACACTGGAAAACCATTACATGCCAAAAGACTTGTTTTCAGGATTTAATTTTCCAGCAGCATAATGGAATTGCAAAAGTGCAGCCTTGCATGTCCGTACAGAGAACTGTTGGAGGAAAGCCAAGTGATTGATAGGGGTCTCTGCTATAACGAGCTTTGGATTTTGTCATATTTGTCTTTGGATGTTTGATGAAACAGATAACCATCACCATCGGTGGGAAGGGGGGGTCGGCTGTCGTACAGTAAGCAACAGTGACGGGCTAGTTTTTTCAAGATTCAAGGCTTGAACTGAACTGAAACACTGCTTGATGTCCCTCCCTGGAGGGGCAGCTCAGCTCTGGTGAGGATGGTGAAGATACATTCATGAACAGTGTGGACACAGGCATTCCTCTGCACCTCTAACAGACTCTTCAGACAGAGTGTACGGCAACTCGGCCACCCAAACTTAGATCTTCTCTGCTTTCTGACCTACTGATCCATGAAGCGGAGCTCTCGGGAGCACTGTCGTTCTGAGAAAGTGATATTGAAATCCCCATCTCTGTCTGAGAGGGTATAAAATAATCATGGCGTGACTGGAATTATTAGTATTCACAGTGCCCTAAGATTCGATACATTTTTAATCGAGGTGAGCTCGGCTGGGTGTTTTACCGCTGTGGTGTTTAGGCACTCTTATTAAGATCTGATTTTGCAGCGAGGCTATGTTTGCGGATAGACGCGGCGGCTCTCTGTTTCCATATCCACAGACAAACGGTGAACAGGAAATCGGGGTGTAGGGACTCGAATGCTAATTCGCAATAACTTGCTGTGTTGTCTAATTAATGAGTTTAGTTTCATAAAAGCCTCTAATCTCAGCTTTATAATTTGACTGAAAGTTATGAAGGAAGGTTTGATGATGCCCAAGCCAAGGATTGCTCCTATTTATAGATTATTACATCATTAATCAGTCGAACGTTGTCATCCCGTGCCAATTTGACTTCTGAGCTCTATCAGACTTGAAAGAGATTTTAGCGATTTCCAATGTAAATAGAGTTGAATAACCGTCACAGCCGCCTGTGCTAAAGAGGCTCAAACTCAAAAGGCAACTGCTCCCACTGGGGAGAGAACAATAATGGCTCGTAAAAACTTAGTCTGAATATGTTGCTAAAGTGGTGAATACATAAGTATGAAGCTAAATGGTGCAGATACAAATAATGTGTTTCTTAAATAAATGCATGTAATATTATAGACCATACTGGCTTCTGTCACAGCACCCTGAGAAATGAATCGAAATATAACAAAAGTAACACCAACAGAATGAGAACTAAGAAATCATTTCCAGTATGATGTTAAATAAAGGCATAGAGTTCTGTCGGTCAAAGAATCTGGTCATGGGGACAATCAGGCTAAATCATCAGATCTGTATGGAATTTTCTTTTTCTCTTTTTGGTCTGATGTCTTCAAACCATGCTACCATTGCCTTTACGTTGGACGTTCAAACAAATGGCAAAATGCATACAAGTGGTTAGATGTTATGCTTCCCCCAAAATAAGAGGTAACATGTTAACTTTTCTTCTCCTGGCAGCACTGTGGAGTAGATTTGCTATTTGGCACTTCATTAAAAGGAGAGATGGTCCGCTGTATGAAGCAGAATCACCCTGGCCAGTTAACAGTCATGTATCTCTGCTGTAAAGCAGCATGTGTCATGGGGGAGGAGAAGAGGGCTCAGGGCCAATGATCTCACGCTCGTGGAAGTGGAGTGTGATTTTGATAATGAGACACTGTGGCTTTATCCTTAAGCTTAGGATCACTGACAACTCTTGGGCTCATTGGTAGGATGAAGTGCAATGACATTTGGACAGCACGATGAGATGCAATCAAGCTGTATTACATGGATGTGCCAATGAATTATATTCCTTTAATGTGTTAGAGGTAATTAAAAATGAACCAACATTGAATGCATTTACATGCACAATCTGCGTTCTGCGTGTGTGTTAACATTTTAGCGCCAAAACTCCATTTAAACAGTTTATCTCATTTAAACATGGTTTCTTGCGTTGTCAGGCTTCTAGAAATGTCTTTTTTGTGAGTGGTTTTCATGTAAATGCACTCTATTATAAATCTAACTGTCCTTTTTTTTTTTGTAGGCAGATTGTGCCAAATGTGAAAAATTAATGTTGCTGACTTGGCCATAATTGGCCTGAGCAGTTAGTTGTGCCTTATTTTAGTTTCCCTACCATTTTCTTCCCTCATAAACAAGGTTTATAAGCCAAGAGTTGCCAACAAGTATCAATATTAAGAAGCGTTGTGGTCACCTTCACGCTGGAGAGAATGGGACTAGCACACCTCGAAGAAGAAATGCTTTTCGGACTATAACTGTTTGGACCAGGCTCCCCACTGCTCACACATCATGCAAAGTGTGGCCATGAAAGGGCTCTAGAAAGCAAATGAGAAAAAACCACAGGAGGAGAGAGACAGACAGAGAGAGACAGAATCTGATAGCTCGGGCTCAATACCCCCCCACCCCCGTTCCCGGCCCACAATTCTTCGTAGAGCTGAGGGTGAGTGGCTTGTCCTGGTTTTTTGAGGACAGAAGAAGAGTTGCTTGAAGAACCAGCAGGTGCTATGGACATCACTCTTCAGGCTGGGCTAGCAAAGGCCCCTTGTTGCAAGGCCCCCCAAGGCAAAGGAAGAGCATAGAAATCAGAACCAAGGGGGAGGGCACTCTAAGCTGTGCCTGTGGAAAAAAGAAAAGAGACATGAATAAGGTAGCCTACAATGCAGGCCTGGGGTTTTCTGTACTTTTACTAATTGCCACAGGTAGTGGGTACCGAAGGTATGACACAGTCAAGAAAATAACGGTTAGTGCAAGTCTTTAAATATCCTAAAGGTTACTCAAAAAACATCAAACTAGTTATTTTGGTATGCAGTATGGATCAACAAGAAAGACATGCATACAGGATTGGAATGGCACAAGGGTGAGTAAGTGATGACAGAATTTGTTTTTAGGTGAACTAACTACAAGATACTTAGTTTTAGGAAAATGCGTGACGGCAGCTGTGCACAACGCATTGGGGTGAACTCAATGAAATGTTTCATTCTATATTCAAAGGTATCAATGAAAACACTTTACTGCAAGTAAAAGTGTTGGTTTACTCTATTGTCCAACAATATGTATTGTTAAGGTTATTGAATGGATAGACGTCATTTACTCACCCTCATGTTGTTCCAAACCTAAATGCATTTCTTTCTTCTTCAAAACACAAAAGAAGATCAAATTGAATGTCTTCTTTTATGTTTCACAAAACAAAGAAGGTCATACAGGTTTGGAACGACATGAGGGTGAGTAAATGATGACAGAATTTTCATGTTTGGGTGGACCATCGCTTTAAGCTATTTCATTCTTTAGCTTAACAAAAGTCTTATGCCACACTACTGAAACGATTATCAGTCAAGTCTTTCATGTATGACATTCCATGATGATTAGGATTCTGCCTTTATAAATTGATCAAATTCATGCATCTGGACTGTAACACTTGGATTTCCCCCCTGTATTTTTCACTTTGAGCAAGGAATCTATGTAAATCAGTGAGGTCATCTTTTAGTGTTTGGTTCGTGACTTGACTGGACATGATAGCCCATTGAGTGATAAGAACCATCTTTTTTTTAACCTTACTCCTACATACACCTGTGTTTGAGTGATGTACAGTGATTCTTATCTGAACCATGTTTTGTTTGTGACTCATCATGTTTGTGATGCTCTATGACATCATGCTGCTGATTGTCAGAAAATACCAACAACAGCGAGCTGCGTGCATTTTAAAAGAGAAACTGTGTCAGGCGGTTGGTACTAAGTACCCCTTGGTACTTAATGAGGCATATTTTCAATGTCTTGCTCTCTGCAGTGCAATGCCTTTGTGCTTGGAAGTCTTTGAAGAGAAGGTCTCTCAACATGTGTTGTTCCTCTTATATGTTGTGGCATCTGGATCTTGTAACGGCTTATTCGTTCTTGTGTTGCTTGTGTTCTATTACCACAACCTTCAGTTCTCATAATCTTCAGCTGAGCTTTTAACCTCCTTTTCCATTTACTTCCCAGAGCATTCACAATAAAGAAACCTTGTCCAATGTGTTGTTTAGTTAGACCCCAGCAAGCAATGGCCGTCATTTCACCATCTTTCACCACTTCTAGCCAAAATAACATTGAATATGGTTGCATCTTGTTTTTGCCAAAATAACTTGCGAGATGTATGATATTCCGTCATGTAAGCAAAGTCAACAGTGATAACAAGGTGTTTAGTTTAATTTATTTGACATGTTCTATGCATAGCTGAGACTATGGTTAGACATCTATTAAATTTTCACTGACTGTCCAGATTTTGCCTTGTTTTAGCCATATGTCATGGCTGTGTTTGGACGGCTATTTTAAACTCAAAATTGCTTTCTGGGAGTGGTTGATCTTAAAGAAATATTCAGTGGTTCGGTAAAATTAAGCTCAATCAACAGCTCTTTTTGCATAATGTTGATTTACCACAAGATTTTTAACTTTCCTCTCATTTTCTTAAAAAACTGGATTATTGTGAGGCATTTACAATTGCAGTGAATGGAGCCAATCGTAAATGCTAAAATATTCTCAATAGTACAGCCACAAGAAAACAATATCAATGTTAACAAGATTTTTGTGTGATAAAGGAAATCAATTAATTGACGTTTCCAGTTATATCCAATTTTATAACTTTGTTGCTGCATAGTGGCAAAAAATTGTAAAAACAATTCTTAAAACCTTATAGCTAAAATAATACACAAGTTTTAAAAGATAAATTAATACAAGTATTAATGTAGTAGCTTGACATTTTTGCATTATAAATGCAAATTTATTTCCGTTTACTTTTTTTTTTTTTACTTTTATTTATTTTGTGGTAATCAATATTGACATGTTGTTGATAGAATTAACATTAAAATGCTGTTGATTGAGCTTAACTTTGAACTGTGAATATTCCTTAAAAGAGAATGTAAAAAATTATAGTGTTATTATGTCAGTCAATTCCAAGACATCGCCTTGGTCTTAACTTAAGTTTTCAATTCTACTCAAGAATTTGATTTCCTTCTCTGACATCCTTCTCATCTGGAAGCACGATGGTGCTGCATAATGAAAAACAGAAAAAAAAAGCCTTTCAGGTGCTTCCACTGTGGCCTTATTCGGTGGTTCTCTGTCTGTTATCAGCTCTTGAGAAGAGTTAATTGCCCCGGTCAGTCTGTGCCCCGTTTTAGCCATAGATGATGAAGTGTGAGGCTACATTTCTCACACTGCACAAAATGTGAGATGTTGTACACAAGCCAGATGCAGGTCAAACACTTTAGTGGGAGTCCCATCTGGGCCATGGACTGATTTACTGTACTGTGTCATACAGTAATTATCACAACATGTTCTTTTTAGTGATAAAATGTCTGTCAAGGAAATTAATATTAATGTAAATGTATTACATTGTGGATATAATGAACTGTGAGTGGATTAGGAGAAGAATTTTGGGGTTTGGTACCGCAGGATTGATTGGCACATTAGTCGCCTCAAATGAACTGGTTCACCAAAGCGGGCCCAAAGGAATGTGGGTGAATGTGCTAAAAGACGTGAACTTTGAACCCTAGTGCGGCATGAAGGGAGCTGAAGAAGGAGCCGAATGAAAGAGAAATCTTCGTCTTGTTTGGGGTTGAAGTGCTGTTTGTGTACTCTACATTGTGAATCACTGAGCCGTTCCATTTAATGGAGCTACACAACTTCCTGCAGTTCCCCTCATTGTGCTGCCAGTATTCTGTAGATCAAAACAAGTATCGACTGCCTAAATCACTCAAAGAATCTGCATTTTATTGGTCGGGATAGGAGTACATACATAAGCCTTACTTTTGTGTCATTTAGACAATTAGATTGTTTCCCCTATATATATATACTGTATATATATATATATATATATATATATATATATATAAACATTTTTTGCCGTATTTCTCACTTTTTATTGCCTTCATCTCTCCGCTTTTAAAGACGATTATCTGTGCCATAAAGATCTGACTTGTCCTTCTCCATAGACTCTGTTCCTATAAAGTTAATTTATGGCAAGACTCATGCCGGCTTGTATTGTGAACTCCTGCGGGGTCATTGTACCCTGTTTAGTCACGTTAATCTGTGTTCTTGAATATCTCTCTGCCATCTACAAAAAAAAATGTGCATTTTTTTTGTTAATAAAAACCACTCAGTTTCTGGAAAAACAGTGGGTCAGTATTTCAGCACGAAGCCTGTGTAATAACCCAGGTGAAAAGGAAATATATTTAAATTGTACTTATTTTGATATACTTAATGTATTTTAAGTATACCGTATTAAATATGTATTAAATGTGCTAAATTGAAACAACTTCAAGTATATTAAGTGTACTTTAATATGTATTTAAGTTCAATTTTAAGGTAATAGTAATATATTTTATTATACTAAATTGTGCTAAAATGGAACCATTTTAAGTACATTTAATGTAATATAATAGCACTTATTTAAAGTGTATTTTAATACACTTTAAATAGACTTTAGAAATACAGCATTAGTATATTTTTAGCTTCACATTAATGCGTTCTAAGTATATTTTAAATATAATTTCAGCTTATTAATAATGTATTAGTAGAACACTATAGGACCCACTATTAACATATTAAAAATATATTTTTCCAAAAACCATTTAATATAAAAATAATATATTTTAATGTATTAAAAATACATTTAAACATTTGAATTCAACAAAACCCAGTAAAAAAATATTTCTACAAAACACACAAACACTCTTTGAAAGATAAACTTTAATGCACTACATCAGTAAAGCATTATGAAAACTAAACAAAATACATTAACATAAAATGCATTGATTTGCAGAGGTATTAAACAGAACAAAAATAAATAAATAAATAAACTAACTGAAAGGAGTAGTTCACTTTTGAAAAAACTTTTGGTGATAATTTACTCACCCCCATGTCTTCCAAGATGTCCATGTCTTTCTTTCTTCAGTCGAAAAGAAATTAAGGTTTTTGATGAAAACATTCCAGGATTTTCTCCATATAATGGACTTCACTGGGATTTTTGTTGATCAATTTGTTGTGAAAGCATGAGAATTGGCTCAATTGCGAGAGTCTTGTGCTGAATGCTTGAGAGTTGGCAGCCCTGACAAATCTTTTTTCGAGTCAATTCATTCATTGAATGAACCTAATGACTCGGAAAAAGATTTGTTAATTTTGATGAACGAGTTCAAATAGGAGAGTCATGAACATGCATAACAGAACAGAGCAAGGCGACCATTTGAGCTTATAAAACTTAAACTTTTTTTTTTTTAAATGACCGATCGTTTCGCTTGATAAGACCCTTATTCATCGTCTGGAATCGTTTAAAGCCCTTTGAACAGTTTGCATAGAAACTGTCTTTTGGACCTTGAACCGTTTGGTCCCCAATGAAGTCCATTATATGGAGAAAATCCTGGAATGTTTTCATCAAAAACCTTAATTTCTTTTCAACTGAAGAAAGAATGACATGGATATCTTGGCATGGGGGCGAGTAAGCTATCAGCAAAAGGTTTTTTTTTTTTTTAAAGTGAACTAATCCTTTAAGTCAAACAAAGTGAAATACAATAGCAAAAAGTAAAGTGGCCAAATCTTGAGTAAAAAGAGAAGTTCGTGACTTTTTCAGTCTGCCATAGACTCTTTTGGGGACATCAGAACCACCGAGGGAAATCTGGAAAGAATAAAAAAAACAAGCATTAGTATAAACTTGTTCATTTATAATTCTAATAAAAAGCTGTCACTTTGTTACTTAATTCAGAACACTTAATGCACAAAAAGTCAGATATAATTATTATAACAAATAGGATTTTTCTTTATCATAAAGAATTTTCTAACCATTTCTGAGGTTTCAGGAAGACACAGCTCAGATGATCTTGGGCTTGAGCTGAATGAACCTCGTTTCATGGACTCCAGGGCCTCTTTGAGAGATGCTAATATCCCTGGAAGCTCTACAAGAAAAAATCAAGTTGCATGTTATACAAAGTTAGGGCAGAACAAACACTAGTTTGTGTTCTTCATATATAATTTGTCTTTTGTTTAAATGGTGAAACATATTTAATGAACCATTACTGTAACTTCCACGCTATTATTAATTATTCATTATTAATAAAGACAGAACATTCTATTGAAAGTTACAAGTTGGTGACAGCTGATAATGACTTGATTAAATGTAAAAAAGCTGAATACCACACATAAAATCATATAAATCAGTCCCTCGAGAAAAACACGATTATGTGATTGCATAATTCAATGCATAATCAGGCAAAATACATATTCATTTTTCAAATACGTGTTAATATATAATAGGTCACTTAGTTACTTAGCTGCTACATGACACACTATTGCCTTTTTTGTTGTTTTTCACCAACAAAAAGTTACAAATCAAGAGAATCAACTACTACTTACTCGACTTGACCTCATCTACTCACGGTTAGGTTTAATAAAAAAATGTCTTTGCAATGTGCAAATTCCTTGGCTAGGCTAAATATTAAATATAAAATCTCTCATTTCATTATTTAACATCATTTTAATTTCTCAGTGCAAGATATTTAATAATTGGTTTTGTGAAAGCTTATAGTTGGTGATTACAACTTAATTTATTTATCGAATTGACATGAAAACTGACAGCCTACTAATAATTAATTAGATTTTACTATGAATTAAATATCACAAATGTGTAAGTTTTATTAGAGTTTAAAATATATTATAATATTTAAAACACAAGAAGTTACTTAGGGACAATCAAGCCTGTTGTGTAATCACCATTAATAACCTTTTTTTTCTGCAAACACAGTGTGCAATGTTTTTATAGTTGTTTTCACTGTCTAGATCTATAACATTAAGTTGATAGACGTCAATGGATAAACGTTAACTCGCTTTAGTGTCAAATCAACAGAAACGCCAGTGATCCACAGAACAAAGCCAATTATACTAATCACTTAAACTAATAAACTTACCACCAAGAAGTAAGATATTTTCTGGCAGTATCTTGCTCTGTCCATGTCGTGGCGGCGTACCTCTGCGTTGTCCTCTTCACTGCTAAATTGTTCGCGGGAGCTGACGACCTGGTAATCTGCTCGTGTGTTCTCTTAATATTAGATCGGTGCTATCCACATAGGTCAGAGTCAGTGAAATAACAAAGCAAAATTTGGAAAATACATGATTTCTGTTGAAATATCCGAAGCTATAATGGGATACCACAGACAGTCAGTATCCGCTGTCTGCGCCCCGCCCAACATGTAAGTTCAAATGGCAGTGTGTGATTGGACAATTGCCGGCAAGCTTGTTTTGAAAAGATTAGCTCTGATTGGTCCAAATGAATGCAACTGGAAATACTAAAAAGAAACAACTCTGTTAATATAAACATAACATGCTTTATAAACAGGTTTTTTATTCATTTTGGCTAAACAAATGTAAGAGTAAAGCTTTAACAAATTTATTTAGTTTTTCTAGTATGTACCTGATCTTTTATGCTGATGTGTGCAAGTGGTATTCACTTGTTTTGTGGAAAAGACTATTTGATTAATTAATGCAGAAGTATAGAAGTGCATTACTTGTAATTTTTAAACTTTATATATATATATATATATATATATATATATAGATATAGATATAGATATATGTCTCAGTTGTTTTTCACAATATTTTTTTAAAGCAGGGCTGAAGCACATGCTACAGTATAACATAAATATTAAAAATATATTGCTCTAGTCCTATACAAGGTTAAATAAGTTATAAGGTTACAAATTGCTATACACACAAAGTAAAAACAAAAAATACTTTAATTTAGCAACAAGTATGCTTTCTGTAAATACACTAAAATTTCACTAAAACTATGTTTGTTTTTAGCATATTTCTAAAAGTGTAATTAAGTGTATATTTATTTGCATTGCGTTTCTAGTAAAACATTTTTAAATACAATGAAAATATGTTTGTATTTAGCATATTTCTTAAAAATGTAATTAAATACCAATGTACTTCTAGTACACTTTTTAGAAACATATTTAAAGCATGATTGTCATTAGCATATTTATTAAAAATATAATTAAGAATACATTTATTACCAATGTACTAATAATATACTTTTTTAGAAATACATTAAAAGTATGCTTTTCTATAGTGTATTTCTTAAAAGTGTATTTAAACATATATTTATTACCAATGTAGTTCTAATATACTTTTTAGAAATACATTTAAAGTATAATTATCATTAGCATATTTATTAAAAATATAATAAAGCATACATTTATTACCAATATATTACTAATATACTTTTTATAAATACATTAAAAGTATGCTTTTCTATAGTATATTTCTTAAAAGTGTAATTAAATATATATTTATTACCAATGTACTTCTAGTATACTTTTTAGAAATATACTAAAATGCAATAAAATAAATTTTTAGTACACTTTAAATAAGCATGTTGTAAATACAAATGTATTATAAACACACTATTTGTATTTCAAATATATTTTTAATACATTTAATACAACGTCTTTTTCACCTGGGAAAACATAAACGTGGTGATAACATCTGTCAGATATAGTTCTCTTTAATTTATTGATGTTGTAACTTGAATGTTTCCTTAATAAAGGCCACATATAGGCTTTGGTGCTACACTGAAAATTTCTCTTTGTAAGAAGGGAAAAAACTTTTATTAAACGTAAAAAAATAATTGTTGGCGGAGGAATTGTTTATCTAGACGTTCATTTAAATACCCTTTTTATGTGGAAAAACTAGCTGTAGCGGTTCAGACGAGATTCTGGAGTATTATCTTTGGATTGGGAATTTAATTGGCATTATTAGGATAACGGAAACATGTTGACTCAGATATAATACAACATTTACATTGTATTATATTCCACTCTGTATGGGTTTTGTAGATCTGCAGGAGAAGATTGGGACCACAGAAGCTGGCAGTCCAAAGTCCGGTAATCTCATAAAGACATGCAGTTTTTCTGTGCCAGCAGTAATATATAATTCATGAAAGAAGTGAATGAGCGAGTCGGTTTCTGTCAATCACAGTCTCCATTTTTTCATGTTATTCTCCCGCATTTCCAACCCTCCTCAGTATGCATTGCACTCGATGATTGAAACAGGTGCTTCCCTCAAGGCCTAATCAGAACTGCTCCATTTATAGATGAAAATTAGATCGTTTTAGCTTATTGGTTACTCATATTCTGTTCTGTGCTTATTGTTGCTTTCAGGCTATTGCATTGGTACAGTAATGTCAAACTGACCTTGCTCTAAAATGGCATGGGCCCCTTATGGGAGAGACGGGGTCGAGGGCGTCTCCTCCTCCAGCCAGAAGGTCTTTGGCTCCGGCCGGCTCGAGCGGTATTCTGCCGTAAAGGAGTCCTCATGCTGCCCACCTCCTCCAGCTCTTTGCTATGCTCGGTGGAGGCCATTGGACCTGCGGACAGAAAAGGTACAAACCCAACATATGATCAAATGGACAATGCACTTGTCTATTTTCAAAGTATCTTGGTCACTTTGGTTAAACTGAATTGCAAAAAACAAACCACATCTTTTCCAATGGTTGGATAAAGACTTATCCCCGCCCCAAAATTTTCACCTTTAAGAAACTTTATTAGCACAGTTTATCGCTGAAAAAAACGACCAGAAAGTCCCTCAGCACTGTCACGGACACTATTTACATGCGCATCTTTGAACTTCTCACATCATGCGAGGAGTATCTGTCTCAAGAACAATGGACAGACGCTTGTCCTGAACTTATATTTGTCTGTGCACTATGCTGCTCGCTTGTTAGTGTGCTCAGATGTTTCCAGTCATCTCTCAATAAGTGCGCAGCAGATCCTCTAAACCCGTCTCATATCCACAGTTTGATCCACATCAGCGCGTCTCTAACCTCTAACCTCTTTAGAAAAATCAAACAAGTTCTCTGGGGAGAGCAAACATTCTGGGAGGTTTTGGGGAGACCTTGATCTGTGCAGCACTATCTGATGTCAGTAATCTCCCATTCAAGTCCTGAATTGGCTTTCTAAGGTTGTGTTTTGTTTGAGTTCATCGTAGGCATTGGATGTCTTTCCATGGAAAGTTCCTGGTCTTCCTAATGACAGAAGCAAGAATCAATGAGTCCCGTCTTTTTTTTCCTACATTATTTAAGGGGATGAATGGGAAAGTACACTTAGTCAATCATCAGTTATATTTCTCGTTTCAGGCCACTGCTCTCCAATCCTTCATTCCATAGTATACACATACCATACTATCCTCTTTCCGTTGAAGCTCATGAAGATAATTCACCAAAATCTTCCAAATTCATCTCTCCTTTATGCATACGTCTTTCTGCCTTTTTTTGTCTATGTTTGTCTACGCCGCTAGAAATGTCTTAAAAAGGAATCTTTCAGTGAGAGCTCAACAAATGCCTATCCTACAGAGTAAACAGAGAATCCCATTAACCTTTCCCAGCAAGAACTTGAATGAGATTATTCTCGTTGGGTCAAGACATTCCTAACATCTCCCTGGGGAGTGACAGACACCCTAAATTAAGAAGACAACAGGGAGCAGATTTTTATTTTTATTTTTTTTAAATATCATAACACAAAGAATTGTTGTTTTCTTTACAATTCTTAAACAAAAACATCATTGTAAGATTGAGCCCAATTTTAGACCTTCTAGACATATTCTTGTTTTGGAACATGGTTGCCGGTTTCTAGATTGTTTTAGCTGGTCCAAGCTGATAGACCAAGTTCGAACCGCTGGTAGAGTAGATAGAAACCAGCTTGGACCAGGTAGAAACCAGCAAATCACATCTATTAGCGTAAAGCTGCAGTCTGGAGTTTTTCCTCTTTGTCGCCATCTCTGTTTGAAATCTACAATTGCAGTAATTCGTGGAATTATCAACTTAACGTGAGTTGTAATTCGACACTGAACAGCGCGGATGAACACAATGTTTGCGGAGAGTGTGCAGCTGTTAACCGCGCCGTTGTGTATACTGCCATTCAGAATCGCAGATTATTCTTTTTGGAAGTATGACCATTGACCAACATAATAATTTTCACCGGAAAATGTCATCTGAACAAGTAAGAAACATCAACTTTTGTTGTGGTTCTGACATTGCAGTAAATCGCGCTGATTAAATCTAAAAATCGCTTATCATATCAGGCAAAACCGTGCAAATTATACTTTGTTCTCGAATTGTTAATGTTAACAACGTCAGCATTGCGTGACTATATATATTATCCTTCCGATATGTATCCTTGTTTTCGCATGGACCGGTTGCAGTCTCTTTTTTCTGTAGCCACTACAGCGGGTGAATCTGTTGTCACTGGTGATTGTCGTTTGAACCTTTCTGGATCCGCCATCAAATTGATAAGTTTAATTATATCAAGTGCTGTGAGAAAAGGTTATAAATCTCCACCTCCAACATCCTCACACGCAATATATCTCGGCCGACTAGCCGAGACTCCTTCTTTATGTGTACAGATGTGACGTAATGACGCAAAGACATGCTCGAATCTCCCACGTAAATCCACCAGTGCCTCTGGAATTAAAAACATTATTACAAGCTTACCGCTTTGAATTGAGCTACGGCAAGCAGATAGTTTGGCTGGCTGGTTATGTTATAGAACAGGCTGGTCATGTATTTTCTCAAATATGTATTTTGGATCATTTTTAACCCCCCAAAAAAAGCTATGGACTGCAGCTTTAGTATGGATTTCTCAACAGGAAAACGCAAATTAATAACTAATAGCTAACAGCTATTTTCTCTTCTTAACAGTCTAGCTAACGCCATACGATTTGAGTTGGTAATCATACAGCCTTGAAATGACTTAAATCTTTGACGGTTAGTACACGTAGTGACTGCACGACGTGAGGCCAAACACGTTGCCTGTAAGTCTGCTTATGAGTTAAATATCCTCAAACTATATTTTTTAAATTCCTGACAGCTCAAATTACATTTACAAACTAATCGCCTTTCGCTGACACATTACACATTCACAGCAGACTTATTCGGCGAACAGTGGACTAATTCATTTGCCCCACAGAAAGACTTCATTGCATACTTCAACATCTCATGGAAAAAGGAAACCACACTAAAACCCATCCATCCACCAGGCCTGCTAATCCCAGCATTAACCTCCTGTTATTTCTCCACAAATGAATTAAGCAAGTTTACACATTCTGTCTGCATTCAAGTCATTTCTTTCTAATCTAAGGGGTTTAACATTTAAAAAGTCTCCATGTGATCAGAAATTTCCCCCACCTGATTGGTCCTTTAAAACACTCAGGATCAGAAGTATTTTTGCTTTTTCTGTACCATAATCACTCAACCCAAATTATATTGTTCTCTACAGCGTGAGGAATAGTCTTGAAATGTCTCTGAGGGGGCAAAAACACAATGTTTTTCGGCCAGGCAGGCAGAAGTGGCTGTAATTACACCTGGCTGAGCTGAACGCAGCACATCGCCGCAGCTCTACTATCAACGTCTGTCATGAACCTCTCTATAATGACACAATTTAGATGTTTCCTTCCATCACCATCTGACAGGCAGCGTTTGCTGCCCGCTTAGCTTTGAGGGGAGCAAATCTCTCAGAAAATTGTCATCCCAGGCAAACAAGAAGAATGCTGCTAAAAATGATCTCTGGTTGTAATAAGAACAGCATTTATGAATCAACTCGAGACATGCATTGGATTGATGAAGAGGGAGGTCTATTTTAAGCACTCAGAATCACTCCATTGTCTGTTTTACGACTCTTGGCTTCTTCTTAATCTGCATAGCTCCTTTTGAGACTCTGCGGGTCGTATCTTTCCACGCTTCGTGGCAAATATAAAGTGACAGGAGCAATAACCGTGGATATACTATAATAGATGGCATATGCTGATGGGATCTTTCTCTAACTTGCTGCTTGTTTACCAGACCCAGTCAGGGATGAGAAAGCTCTAGCCCCCTTATTACATTAGATCTGATGGTGCTGATAGTGGGCCTTCTTCTCACCAACATAATTTCTTCCAGGTTCAGTACCTAATGACAAGCTCAGGAAGTAATATTCCACTTGATTCTTCTCATGATACCAGCAGGCTTACTGAAGACGGCAAACTCTTAAAGTGAAAGTTCAACCAAAAATACATTAAATCTGTAATCATTCACTAATCCTCATGCCGTTTCAAATTTGTATCACTTAATTTTTATGTGGAACATAAGAAAGACCTGTCTCAGTTTTTAATTTTTTTTTTGTCCACACAATGAAATTCATTCAGGTCCAGTGTTGATTTGGACGTCTGGACCTCCAAATCAACGTTGACATTCATTGTATGGTAAAAAATGTGGTTTCTCTTAATATGGCACGTAATTAAATGACTGGTAATTTGGTTGTTTTACGTATTGCGGCACATATTCACAATTTTAAAATAATATACCACCTACATTAAACCCTGCTCTAAATCTACTGTAACTGACAGTCCGAGCAAAAGCATATGTGACATGAAAACGCATTTGCTAAATTAACCATGGCATACTTCTACAAGTCTTTGATCTCTTCTATAAAGTGTTGTGACTTGTGAGTGCAATACCAGGTGAGCTACCAAGCAAGTTTACTGCATCAGGAGCTTGCAGATGTCAAAATGTACTAGGCCTAGTTTACAAATCAGGCATTATGGTACATTAATGGTACAATGAGCCAAACGTACAAAAAAAAAAAAAAAAATTAAAGGAGAACTCCGGCGCAAAATGAACCTTTGGTCTAATTACATATTGGTACCTAGTCGACCGTTCTCTGAGATTTGTTTTCATGATAATCGAATGTAAAAAGTTTTATCACTAAAAACTGTTTAGCGTATAACGCTAGTATATGGGGGCATATAATAAGTAAAGAGAAATCTAAAATAATTAGACCAAAGGTTAATTTTGCGCTGCAGTTCTCCTTTAATTGATAATCTGTCCCTGTAATCATATTTTTTGTGAAAAGGAATAAAATTTGTTTCCGTTTTACTGCCACTAGTGCTGAAAACTGTAGTGAGTTGTATAGTTTTTGAAGTTTTAGTCAGAAACACTTTTTTTACGACCCTATGCTGAAATTTTCATTTCATGGGAGGCGTTTCGAGTTTAAAAAAGTGAAGTCACTAAAATGCTGAAGTCACCACAGCTTGCTCACATGGATATGGTGGCTTGACAGGAAGTGTTCAGATTGGTCAGATTCATCCAGACTAATGATAAATAGCCAGATCGTTGCTATCTCATCCTATAGTACCACACTCCTTAGGTTCATCCATTATGTTGACTTTTTAACACGACTGCCTCGCCGTGCCTCGCCTCCGCTGGACACCTTGTGTCTGATAGTGTGTCCCTGTAAATCCCAGGGCTGCCTCTTAGCCGAGAGAGTTATCCATCACCCGGCACTTTCCTGACAGGGAGAGAGGCCCAGGCTAGGCAACGTTTATAAAGGGCCGAGC